GTGGTGGAGGGCGAGGAAGGGTGGAGGGGGGGTGGAGAGGGTGGAAGAGTGGTATGAGTTAGGGTGGAGGAGGGAGGCGGAGGAGAGGGAAAGATGGAGGAGGGGGGGGGACTGGTTGGAGGGTGAGGTGGTGGAGAGGGTGAGTAAGGGAGAGAGAGAGAGAGAGAGGGAGAGAGAGAGAGAGAGAGAGAGAGAGAGAGAGAGAGAGAGAGAGAGAGAGAGAGAGAAAGTTTGGGAAATCCATTCATTATGTTGAAAAATACATATTCAAAAGCTGAATCCCTACAAACACATTTTCAAAATGAGAGTAATGATTGAATTATCACAGGGTTCATATTTCATCAAAAATATTAAAAACGTTGTTTTTCACCGATGTAACATTTAATATTTTATTAGTAATAAGTCTCCTCTCTCTCTCTCTCTCACCTCTCTCTCTCTCTCTCTCTCTCTCTCTCCCTCTCCACCCTCTCTCTCTCTCTCTCTCTCGATCTCTCTCTCTCTCTCTCCCTCTCTCTCTCCCTCTCTCTCTCCCTCTCTCTCTCCCTCTCTCTCTCACTCTCTCTCTCACTCTCTCTCCCTCTCTCTCTCCTCCTCTCTCATCTCTCTCTCCCCCTTCCTCTCACTCTCTCCCTCTCCCTTTCTCTCTCACTCTCTCCTCTCCCTTTCTCTCTCACTCTCTCTCCTCCCTCCTTTCCTCCCTCCCTTCCACCCCCCTACCACCCCCCTGCTTCCCTCCCTCCCTCCTCTTCACCATTTCCTTCTCCCTCTCTCTCTCCTGTTCTAAGGTCTAAGAATTTTCTCTCTTGTTTTACGAAGCGAACTACATAGGTATGAACGCACGTATAATACTTACATGCATACATACATATATACATACATACGTACATAAGCACACACAAACTCACTCTCTCTCTCTCTCTCTATCTCTCTCTTTCTCTCTCTTTCTCTCTCTCTCTCTCTCTCTCTCTCTCTCTCTAAAGATAAAGATAATGATTATGAAATTTATAAATCATATCAGAAAATTCTTATAAAACTTTAGGATCAAAGATATATTTAAGAAAACAAACTAGATTATGAAATAATAACATAAATAGAAATAAAAAGTGTCCATAAGGGTGAAATTAGGGTATTAATACCTACGCCTTCCTTCCTTATAGATGTAACGGAATATGGAAGTTGAATGTATTTAATAAAATGACTTTTATCCCTTCTCTTCTGTGCTTTTATATATGAAGATAATTCCCTAGGCAATTTCGAGGCACAAAATGCTTACAAACTGGCTATGCTTGCAATAATCTCCAAATATATGCATGAGGTATTTTGCCCCCTCTTCGTCCCCTCTTGCTCTCTCTCTCTCTTACTTGTTCTGTCTCTCTCTTTCTCTTTCTCTCTCTCTCTCTCTCTCTCTCTCTCTCTCTCTCTCTCTCTCTCTACCTTTCTCATTTTCTTTCTCTTTCTCTCTCTCTCCCTCTCTCTCTCTCTCTCCCATATAATAATAATGAAAAACAAAACCCAATAACAGGAATCCCCCCCCCCAAAAAAAAAAACGCGTCTATAAAAACTACAAAAAAAAAATCTTCCCCGCCAAAATATAAAGTAATCTCCTCAAAGAGGCGCCAAAAATAAACCCCAATGAATAATCATTCCCCCTCCCCCCTCCCCCCCAAAAAAAAGGCGCCAAAAATTAACATCTTCCCAAAAACGTGCCAATAAATAAACATCCCCCCCCCCAAAAAAAAAAAAGAGGCGCCAAAAAATAAACATCGCCCCCCCCCCAAGAAAAATGCGCCAAAAAATAAACATCGCCCCTTCCCCCCCTCTCCCCCCCCCCAAAAAAAAAAAAGGCGCCAAAAGAGCGCTCTCGGCCGTAAACCCCGCCGGCGTCGTTGAAACAAAAGCCAATCGCTCTCCCGCACATCGCCATCAAGAAATACAAGAATAATATCGCACGCAGATGGCTTCCCACAAATCCCTTTGGTCGGGGGAGAGGAAAGCGCGGAGGAATCTTCGGCCAAAATAGATGGTTCACGTCAACAGCAGTTTGTAATTTCTGCTTTAAAGACGCGATGCGATGCTCTTCTCTGCTTTGCTTTGCTCCTTTCTCTTCCCTCTCTTATCTCCTCGATTCTTTCTTGTCGTCTTCTGCTTTCTTTCCCTTCCCTTTTTTCTCATTGCCTTTATTCTTTTCTACTCCTTTCTCCGTCTTTTCCTATCCCCTTTTTTTATTCCTCAATCGCTTCTCTTTTCCCTCCTCCCTTCCCCGCCCCTCCTCTTTTCACTTCCCTCCCACGCTCTTCCTCTTTTCCCTTCGCTCTCTCTCCTCCTCCCTCCTCCCTCCTTCCTCCCCTATTCCTCCTCCTCCCTCCTTCCTCCCCTACTCCACCTCCTCCTCCCTTCTTCCTTCTCTATCCCTCCTCTTCCCTCCTTCTTCCCTTACCCCTCCTTCCCTTTTCCTCCCCTACCACTCCTACTCCCCCTTCCATTACCCACCCCTCCTCCT